TTGTGCTCTCAGTGCCGGTTAAAAATAAATGAAGTTTCAAAAGTAGAAGTATATCCCTTTGTTGATCAATGACATTCAGACAAAGAGCCGAATGCTTCATCTCCGTATCGCGTACCATCTACCCCGCATCTAAGAAAAAAAATTAAGTGAAACAGCGAACTGTTGCAAGATAAGCCGATTTATTACACGACTCGGGCAGTCAGAGGGCCAATAACTAAAATCAACCCATGAAAATGCTCTATTGCCGGTCAATATTCTCTCAGTATTGGACCGGGCACTGTCCCGAATGGTCCCGAATGATACCGCACTTGTGTCCCTTTGAACTTCAGTCGTATAATAAATCTCTTATTAAACAAGCTTGCTCGGGACCGTACTGGAAGAATATTGGCCCTCGGTCTTTTTTGTACGGACCTCGATGCGCTCGGTCCGTACTGTCAAGACCTCGGGCCGATATTCTCCCAGTACGGCCCTCGCGCTTGGTTAATAAGATATAATATAGATAGCAACGTTGCAACGTTAGTTGCAGGTCGGGAGATGTCGGCTTCAAGGTTTTTCCAAGGCACGAAAATATGAAACCTCTGGTATCCAGGATGCGGTACAATCGACAACCGGAAATCGCAAGCCAATGTTAAATTCGGTGCACTGTTGATGCATTTGGCCAGGATCATTTCTAGATGCATTTCGTCTGTAAGAAGTAACTCTTTCACGTCTATGGACATAGTGGTCGAATCTCATACAGCCAAACAGTAATCCAAGGAATTCCTTATCAATCTGTGGGTATCTTCTTTCCATCTGTGTCATGGTTTGATACGCAAAAGCCACAGGTTTGCCAGCTTCTAGAAGAATTGCCACAATTTGTAACTGAGTCAAAATAGATCCTTCATCACCAATTGAGGATGTTCTTTGAGGAAAAAATAAGGAAAGACAAGTCACCTTGCCACATTTAATCGAGCACACAAAAGCACATATAAATATAACTATTCATATAAGGATGAATCCACCACCCTTACCGCCACTCAATTAGCTCAATGGATAGAGAGCTGGACTGTTGTGCGGGAGGTCGAGGGTTCGAACTCCGGCCGGACCAACATTCAAGGTCTTAAAACAAGTGAGAAAAGTATGCTACCTTTCTAAAACATCAAGAAATGGTTAGATACTCTAGTCTTCTCAGATAGGGACGAAAAAATGGAGGTCCCGTCTCCTGCAGGGTTAGGGGTAGGAGACGTTAATTTCCCACACACGAGATTACAGTGTGATGGATGTCCTCCCCTGGGGTGGTTGCTGGGTGGGAATTGGCCCTGAAAAGCCAAAAGTGGTCAATTAACATATGTATGTAAGTAATCCTAGCAGCTAAACGTGGAGATACAAAAGCCTCCAAAGAAGAGGGAAACTTTTTACTGGAAGGCTGCCGAGTGACTATTAATAACATATTTTAATGCGAAAGGTCTTTTATATAGATCAACCAGTGTTGTCAACCCTAAGTTAGCATACCTACAGAGATTACGTTATACTATTTGTCCCGAACAGCAACCGTCGCCACTCGAAGAACAATAAATTCCACAAAAGTCGACCGATCTCCCTCAGTTTGGCTCCAGCGAGACAGAATTGCAAGTACTTACCTGTTAGAGAAGCAGAAGTTTCCAAATTCCGCTCCATCGACCAGAGAGGCGCTCCGTTTTACCATCCATTCTTACTAAATCTCTTCGTCTTGACGAGCGGCCATACTACGGGATTTATCTCAAAGCACATTTGGCCTGGGGATCGAAAGGAGGATGGTTACTTTTGCCCTATTACAAAACAACACCGTTATGGGAGTCGGTTCGCGTAATTCGACCGGATGCGCTTTCAGTTAATTAAATCCATCAAAAGATCCTGAAATAGCACTGACATTGAAATCCCCCCCCCCCCCCATTCCACCTTGGGATGAAAGGTCCCCTGATATAAGGACTGATTCACACCGAGAGACCGAATTAATTTCTTTTGTGGGCCATATTGGTTTTTAGTAGGGCTGAAATGGTTTTAATGGGGTCGATGTAGACCCATTTGACAACATGACCCCACAAAGGGTCATTTAAGTCATTTGGTTTTAATGATTTGGTTTTCCACCTAAACCAACAGACCTTTAGAGTCAGGAGTTTGCTGAATAAATCAAAATCCTCCAAGCGAGAGTCGTCGTGACAACAATGTATGTCAGGATTTTACACCTTAACGGCTGGAGACGTTTCAAATGTCTACTTCTTACATGGCTTATAGCTCTTCTGTTTGCATTTTTGTCTTACGGAGAGCTGAAGTTCGTTTGGAAGAAATCTCACCGTGACTGCTGGGATGCTTCACAACAGTAAGGCCCCTTGTTCAATTTCTTGAAAATTGGTAATTTTGATAGTCAAATAATAGGATAGGTTGTGTACATAAACTAATATACACCAAATGATAAGCAGGTAATGAAAGATGTAGTGTGCCACTTTGGCAGGATACAAGTGCCGAGGAATAATGAATTTCAGGTCTGTAGACGGGTCTATAACTGTAGTGCTCAAATGGCCTAAAACGGAAAGGTGAACAAAATACCACCACAAAAAATCATATGCACGTCACGCAAAGGTTTTATAGCTTAACAGGAGTGTTGCTGTATAGAAAACGAGTGACCAGACTGATACTAAACTAGGGTAAATGGCCTCGCTAGTTTCCAGTTTATAGTCCATGTTCACATGATAAACGCGGACCATCCAAAACAATAGGCAATTTTTGATAAAGCTTAAAGTCGTGAGTTGTGAGTGTAAAAAAGATGACAGATGGTCTTTGCAACTTTCGTTCAATTCCTTTTTTAAAAGACTAATTGCAGGTAAACTGATTTATTTGAGCATTAGACCGCACTTTCTGTCACTTTACCGGCGTAATAACCTATACAGGATAATGGGAGAAACCGACAAAAGTTTGTAAATATGAACCGGAGGCCGAAGTGTATATTTGATCAATTGGGGCGCTTACAGTATCTAAGTTACCTTATACGGTGAAATGACCCTAACCCTCTTCCAAATTCACCATCTGGAAATATTAGAAGTTCCATACAGAAGGCGAAGAGCTCACTAAAATAGTTTTGATAAATATCAGCTGTTACCAAAACCTACAGGGCAATTGTAGTTCTCATCACAATGTCATGTTTTTGTTTACTTTGAACAGATATGGGTCAATTCATCAGAACTGTTCTCCAGTGACAAATGTCCTGTTTCTCAAGACACATAAAACAGGATCTTCCACATTATCTAACATCTTCTTCCGTTATGGCGACTCCCGAGATCTTTCATTTATTCTTGGTGCAGACACACTCATTGGTTGGCCGAGACGCTTTAGAATTGCACATACCTTGAAACGTAATGATCTTCAGCCAAATTTTCTGTGTAGTCACACAAGGTACAGCAAGAAAACGATGAATTACCTTTTTCCTAAAAACACCAGCAAATATATCACAATCCTTCGAGACCCAGTTGGCCAGTTTGAGTCTGTATTTAGCTATATGGGGCTTGGTAAAGTATACAATCTAAGTGCTGACCCTGCAGAATCTATCAAACAATTTCTCAGGGAAGGAATAGAATTTAAGGATTTAACTAAAACTCAAATAACAGTTTTAGCCAGAAACCCGATGATGTTTGATTTGGGTTTAGACCCTCAGTTTTATCAGAATGTCACAGCTGTGAAGAACTACATTGCATTTTTGGAGAAGGAATTTGACCTAGTTATGTTTATGGAGTACTTTGAAGAGTCCATGGTACTCATGAAGCGCTTCCTTTGCTGGGAACTAAGAGATATTCTACACATTAAAACAAATGAGAGAATAGATAAAGAAAAATCTCCACTTAGCGAAAACATGAGGGAAAACATAAAAAGATGGAATAAAGCTGACATGTTACTCTATGATCATTTCAGCCAAATATTTTGGCACAAAATAGAAATGGAAGGTGTAGGGTTTTACCAAGATCTCGCAGCCTTTCGACAAATGAAGAAGGAAATGGAAAAAACCTGTTACAAAGGAACAACCCTCCAAATGGCCTACGTTGGCAAGTATGTGAAGAGCCTGGCTTTGAATCCAAACCTGTCACAAGCAAGTAGAGAGAAATGTGAAAAAATGACAAGAAAAGAGAACAGCTATCTTGAGCATCTAAGAAAGAAACAATCTTTTAAATCAGCCGGACCTATTGAGGCAGCGATAAGCGAGGACAATGAACCTAATCAGCTTACCTGGGATACGGCAAAAGATCTTCAATACGATCCTTTACCACAGTAACTATTGTCTAGATAAAGAGAAATGAACTTTTGAAAAGAGTCACCTAGATGAACAACATTGGCTTGTTAACTATTACGATACCGTGACATTAGATCATTACATGATTATTTGTCTAGGCATTTGGTACAACTAACCTAAGAAATAACCTGGCACATAAAACTAAACTAAACTTTTTTAAAAGTCACTACAAAAGATTTATACCATCACATGCACCACATTGATCTGGCTCAATGAGACAACAGTTCTTTCTCCGTATTTATATATTTATTGTCAATAATATTATTGCACATCAACTCCTTTCACTGGTATAATTTGAATAATTTTCATATTGTTCCCAGGCGGTCCACACGTACTGTGTGTGATTTGGGGATCTAAAGGTCATTAACGAGAATACCTAATAATAAAACAAATTAGAAAGGATAATAAAAGCAAGGAACATAACGTGTTAAGTGTCCTTACCCTTTTTCTGTAGCCGCTTGGTCGCTTACGGTCAATTTAAAGCTATTTTGGCAACTTTCTTTAATTTAATCACAGACCGCCTGTGATTGTACACACCATTATTTAAGGGAGCAGTTGTCAATTGGGACGAATAAATCATATTGAACTGTATTTTGTGTAAATTTGTACCTCTGGGTTTTGGATTTTTCTCGTCACCCTATTTGTTTCTAGCCAAGTAAATCCATCATTAAATAAATGCGGTTGTGAATGAAATTCAGTCTAGTGGAGGCTTTCTCTTTCAAGTCTCTTCTCTGTGACGATAGGTTTTCGCACCCAAACTGGGAAACTGAACCTTCGCGGACGGAACAACAATAACTGGGGGAAATTAACTCGGTAGAGACAACTCGACAGCGAGAATGGAAACTCGTCACAATTTCCTGGTACACGGAGAACCTGAACGGACGTGAAAGATGAGACAAACCTTGGTTCCACAGTGAACTTTATTCTAAGTTAGGCCAACAAGTGACATGACCTCTAGCGAACACAAGCTTGTAATCAAGGATGTAATCAACAAAACTTATAAGGTAGCTGCTTAGAAACTAACTGGTGTGAAATGCTATTGTTATCCAAATCAACCATGTTTAAACAGCAAAACAAAAGAAGCGGTAATGATCTCTTTGAAGTTAACGAAAACTACTTAAATATTCCCATCCCTTTCTACGACGAAAAGAATTTCAAATTAAAAGGACGGATGCAATCAACGCGAGTTCATTAAAAATAGGAAGTTAGGTGAGAATTCACAGCTCTGGCATAGAAAATATACTTATCTTAATTGCAATAGCGCATCTTAGGAAATGAGAGTGGAAAAGTAATTAAAAGTTTCTGTTTATCTATGCAAGGTTGGTGTGGAAACTATCGTATGAAAGGAAATTAAAATTACGAGTTTAAACTCAGCTGCCAACTACCACGAGAACCAAGTTTTTCCAGAAAGACCATCAACATTAAAATTTACCTAACATTTCACAAAGAACGAGCTACAAAAGTGTCCAGATGCAGCTGTACGACTTAACTTGGCTATTCAAAATCTACTTGTAGCTTTTTATCTTTTGTCAAACATTGCAATGAAAGAAACTCGCCTAATTTGTGAACGCTAGAATTCCAAAAACAACGAATAAATATGCTTAAACATCAACAGGGAGAAAATCACTAAATTTTCCCGTAACATCTCCTTTGCTAGATTGTAGTGCCACGTTGGAATTGAGACCTTAAAGAGTTAAGCAGTCAGGAAGGCAACGTCGAGGAATATGTCGATCAAAATATGTTTTTCACGAGCCGAGAGGTTGGTATTAGAAACAACTGTGCACGAAGAGTCTTAGCGTAGGAGATAACTCAGATAAGACTCGATTTACCTCATTTCCTTTCTTTGTCAGCTCTTTTCTAGTTCGCTTTTCCTTTGTTGTTAACCTCTTTTCAGTCTGTTTTCTGGAGCTCTTTGTCTTTCCTTCTCTTCACTACATAGTGGCCTTTGTTTTGTGTGCCTTTTCGCGTTCTCTTTGGCATTCCTCTGGTTGTGTTTCTGCCTATTTTTCGTATGGTTTCTCGCTCTCTTCTGAAGTTTTTTTTTTCTCTCTTTCCTGCCCATTTTCAGTCACCCGAACCCTTTCACCAGAAACTCGATTTAAAATGATTTCTTCCAGGTGACATAGCTTTAACTCTATGTATTGCTCCTTTGCAAGTTGATCAGAGTCTGCAAAATACCGTAAATCATTTTTGCCCTCAACAAAAGCCATTAAATCATTATAATCTCCCACTCAAAACTGAACGCGTGTTGTAATCTCTTTGCCGGCATGTGCGCACGGTTTCATATCCTAACGGCATCATTTCCAAGTTATGCATAACCCTCTAATAATTAAGTAATGGCTAAATTGACCCCGCAATGCTGTTGACCCCTATGCTCAAAGTAGCACCATGTACGGTCCATCGTGCCTGCGAACAAATTTTCTCGGCTTGATGGGTTCTTCTATTTCTTTTAAGGAAGCGGCTAGGCTGCTCGCGCTTCACGCGCTGCGAGCCTCGCCATAATAAATCGTCCTCCACTGAAACAAGAACAATTAAATAGTTTGTTCCCATAGAAAAAAAAGTGATAGTTTTAGTCAGATGTGCTGAGAAATCAAGATTTTTGATAAAAAAATCGCGGAACATGCTTGATAAGGAGATTTCAAAGTCGATATGCACATATGTCGGGTTTACCGAATAACTGCGAGGTAACCAAAAACTGTAACTAAGAAAGAGAATCAACGCAAAACAGAGAAAGAAATACGTGGAGACAAAAGTTTTAAGTAAATGCTAAATTTTCTGTTGTAGAGAACTTCTTGCGTGTAGAAGACCAGTGCGATAGATTTTCTTGAATCGTCGTTTACTAGACTAGACACTGGACACGGCCTAAATTACGATCAAAATCTTATGTTGAACAATACTGTTATAACATAACATCATTTAAAATTAAAACTTACGGATCTAAAGAATGGTCCAAAAGTGGCAAAGCCTAATTTGAAAGCGGCAAATTTTTATTTTTACTGCCACAGTTGCATAACTGACCATAATTCGCATTGCAGTTAGGAATCGAAGTATTGTTAACTCGAAGTGGCTCATTTTTTGCTTTTGAGGTTTTTAGAAACAACCACAGTTTTATGAAATTGGGCATCCTTAGGCTTGTTCACTTCTCATTTTGAGGTCCTGACAGTCTATTTTCTTCGAGATCGAACGGAAAACCTATATACAAAATCTTAACTCCCGCAGCCAAACTGGATGAGAACTTTGTAGTCGATTGACTTAAAGAAATTGTGGCTATCAAGACATTTGTTCGCTGACTTAATTAGCACACACACTTTTCCCTCGTCTATAACATGTTAATCATAGAAAGGAAGTCAATAGTGTTCAACTGGTGCAACCAAAGCGCGAAAAATTAACAAAGAATTTAATTAAGTGACGAAGAATAAAATCGCAGCCACCCAAGTAAGAAAGGGGTTAAGCTTACGGCATAAAGGGCGTTTGACATGTCGAACCCCCAGCCCCCCCCCTAAAAAAAATATAACAGTAATAATTATCATATGAATTGGTTGAGATAACGTGAATTTTATACCGAAGTTCAAAATTTACAAAAGTAAAAGTATTTGATTCAGCAGTTTTCTTGCTCATAAATTCTTACTACTTAACGGCCTTCTTTGTAAATGCCAAAGTTTACCATAATTCACGCCTTAGCGCATAACACCTCAAGTAAAGAGATTAAAATACCTGGAAGTTGAACGTGTGTATCCAAAAGTCACCCTTTTTTCAACGCCATTGTTTGCCATATTTTACACCTTAACGCAGAGCACCTTCATAGATTGAAACACCGAGAAGTCGAAGGCGCGTATTCAAAAGCATCGTCGATTATAAGACTCCATAACGATTGTGAATAGAAAAGTCAGAAAAACAGCGGATAAAGATGGAATTGATGGTAACAAATTAGAGAGAAAAACGGTTAAAATTTTGGCCAATATACGGTTAATATCTTTCCATTGTTGTCCCGGGAAAATTTTTTTACATCCACTTTTTTTCAAGACTAAGGGTTGAAATTTGTCAGTTATTACGCCTAACGGTTAAATGTTTTGGCCGTTTTACGGCTAATGGTTCCCCCCTTAAGACCCTCTTTTTTCGGGTTTACCCTGTGGCCGCCGAGAAGTTTTTGAAAGAAGCATATCAAGGACAGCCAAAGTTTCAATTTTTCAATGAGAATGGCTGCGAACCATCGTTGATTGGAACTGATTGATCATGGCGTCGCAGGAGTTGCAAGCAAACAATGAAAAAGAGATGAAAGCTTTGAAGAGAGCCAGCCAACTCGATTTTATCGAGCAGGGAACAGGGACACGAAACAAAGGGAATAGTGTTATTTTGACATGTACTTTAATAAGATTGTACATCTGGACGGCAGCCCACGTCTCCTGTGATTCCTACAGTTTTCTGACGCTCTTACCGGCTATCTTCTCCCTTCCTCACACGCGCGTTGTCTAAGGGGTTAATTATAGCTTGAAATAGTGAGGGCTGAAAGACAATCGCTATTATTATGTTTAACAGCGATCATTGTTCGAGACTAATCCTTTCTACTCCTGAATCTCACGTCTCAATTTGCAAAAGGAATCAATGTTATCCTTCGCTGCCTCGAAAGAGTTTCTAGAGCCTCTATAGATTACACTCAAATATTTTCCATTGTCTGCTTGCAGTACGTAGGTTCCATCCTGTTGATCATGTACCGAAAACTGGCTGTATATATCTGGATATGTCTTGGCAGCCTCGATATAATCGACATTTCCACGTCTTACTCTAGACAAATACTTCCCGTTGTTTGCCTTAAGCATCAGCTTGCTTTTGAACTCCGTGGTTAGAAATCTTGTGGTAGGATCCTTCTGACTTTTTGCCATCTCAATGTAGTCAATTCCCGATCGATGACTACGACTGAGATACTTACCATTGGAACCTATGAAGGCTACACCAACTGGCCAGGGTCCATTCAGGCTAAGAGTTACGCCTAAGATAGTAAATGGAGAGCAGGAAATATTTTTAAACCTTGTTTGAACTAGGTGACAGTAAGTCTCCAATCATGGGGGCATAGCTAGGGGTATACGTTGGAGATGGAGGCGAGCCAAAGAGCGAGAGACTGAAGCAGGGCAATCCTCTCATGAGAACAGGGATTGCAAAACCGCAAAATGTAAATGTTTCTTTTCGCCGTTTGCTACCTTGTAGTAACGGTAAAATAAAAATTTGCCGGAGATTTACTCACTCTCCTCGCAGAATTTCCCAGTGAAACCCCTTGCACAAACGCAGGTGGAATCAATACTGTACTCTCCGTGCCCTAGTTGCCTGGTCCCTCCATTCTTGCACGGGGTGTTGGTACAGGAAAGCTAAATAGAGACAAATGCACTTTATGCAAATATTCTTTTATCTCGGACTAAACGATAGTTTCCTGTCACGTTCATCAAATAAAGAACTGAATCCAAATTAGAGTTTATTTGACAACGATGTGTTGGTTTATGCGTCAACCTGCATTCATAGAGATATGAAGCTCGCAGTAAGTTTGCAGAGCAAATTGCACTCCATTATGTACAATTATCATTGTAAAAAAATACAATTTAAAAATCTGTGTTAAAGGCTCTGTAGATCCCTCGCTCGTAAGCTCAACTCACTGAAAAGATGCTTTAACTTTACACGGTTAAGGATGTCATGTTTCGAAACATCAGAAATTCTAGTGTTTCATAAAAATCTTAAACACAGAAACGGAGATTTACCAGTTGTTCTCATTCTTTTTTAGACAGAGGATTAGTATTACCTTGATGCAATAGTGATGCGAACTCTTGTTTCTTTTGAACTCGTCAGCGTTTTTGTGTTTGTCAGAAGACAGCAACTCACACCAAAGCTTTCCATCTCTTCCTTTAGAGGAGGATATGTTTATAGAAAGGCACGAGTGACTCCTGCGGCACTTAAATAGGCACTCCATTTCGTCCCTTACCGTGAATATGCCAATATGAGGGACACTAAGATGATAGTACTCGGTCTTTGAAAAGAGCTGTTGTCCAAAATTCCCCTCTGAAGGCGACAATGGGTTGGTTACGACTATAATAAGTGTGGAAAGCCGTAAAGATTCCATTTATAATCATTTCGTGCAAGGTGCAAGTTAGATTAATAGGAACAGCAGCATTGAAACTGTTGAGAGCCAAAGTCTATGAAGAAAATCACTCGCGTATGGAATAAAAAATTTTTACCAATTCTTTGATAAGTTACATTTATCATCTCAATTGTGCCTTATGTTCCTTTAATGTAACGCTTGAATTCTCATGAACAGACTTCCATCAGCAGAATTGAGATTTCCCCCTCCCATCTCAGGCATTGTTCATTCAGGTTTTGCTCTATTATCAAGATTCTACCTCCTCATTTGCATATTCGAGATCCCATGAGATAGCGCATGCGTGGTGAAGATCATTTAAGCGTTGCGTTCGGTAGAAGAAAGTCCTAAAAGTTTGTCACTTTGATAATCTACGACAACCCTTGTAATCATCGATTGCAAAACACTTTACAGATTACAGACAAAGTTGTAGAGGAACCACGGTTCTTAGTGACGACGACCTGTCGTGTGTTAGCCAGAATTCCAAAGTCAAGCTAAAGCAACCGACCATGTCACAAAATGACGGAGACCACGAGGTCGCTGACGTCGTTATCGCTTTGGACGAAAGTCCTCTATTAGATGGAGATGTATATTCATCTGACATCGAAGCGGTCAAAAAACAAACCCGAAAGGGTATTCAGACTGCTGAAAAGGTTTCCCGCAAGGGCAAAACGGGGAGCAAACAGGCTGAAGCGAAAGCTTTAAAGCAAAGTCAGCCACCAGCAAGTAAGGCGGGAAATCCGTCGAGGCGAAAGACCACCACTCCTTCATCCAACAAACTTGCTGACAGCAACTTAGAGATCTCACTGGCTCCCTTGCATGCATTACACCGGTAATAACCGAAATTAAATCAGCTTATGATAGTTATAATCAGAGCTGTGACCGCGAAAGCGACGAAGGTGATGGAAGTGGATCCGAACCTGACCAAACGACAACTGCGGACACGCAGGACGAACCTCCATCTAAAAAAGCAAGGGAGGAATTTAGCGTGCTAGCTGGAATGGCAAAAGTGGTGAACATTCCACAACAAAATGGCGAGAATTTGACGCCTGAACTTTCAGACCTGGTCAAGCAACTTCTCAGTAAAGGCATGACCAAGGATGCCCGCGATGAATTGATGGAAAAATTCCCAACACTGGGCAACTGTAATCGACTAGCAGTCGTACGAGTGAACCCTGAAATTTTTAACAGTGTCAGGAAAGAGATAAAAACAGAAGATGCGATGCTCCAGAAAGCTCAAAAACCCCTTTTAAAGGGTATAACTGCGGTCACCAGAATCCTGCATGATTATATGAGGGCTGAGCAAGCTAATAAACCATTGCCCTCACAAGATACAATAATGAAAATACTATCCGACAGTATTTCACTGTTATGTGATGCATCACATGAAATAGATCTCCGGAGGAGAACCTTGTTCAAGGGAGACATGAAAACTGAATACAAACTACTATGCAGTGACCAAAACCCAGTTGAGGATGGCCTGTTATTCGGCACTGACCTTGGAAAATCTGTAAAGGATTTGACAGAAGCCAGCAAAGTGACTTCGAAAGTAACACTCAAACAAAAAAGACCACAGCAGTGGTCAGCAATTTCATGGAAGGTCAGAACCCAGAAGACCTTTCCCTTTTTTAGGCCGGGGAAGAGGCGCTGTGAGCAGGCACAGGGGCGGATACAGAAATCCACCACCAAGAGGCCATCAACAGTATCCGCCTCGAAGATAAACAGCCAGCCAAGGAAAAAACCTGTAAATAGTGTTCAGGTACGAACCAATTCTAAGGTCGAGATGAGTTCAGATATTTTTAGTTCGCAATGTGAGAGAATACAGGTTAATGAGAAAGTGGTGCAGGCTGGAAGGCTACAATTCCATTTTCACGAATGGGAAAAAATCACATCTGATAAAGTTATTTTGGACCTTGTGAGGGGTTACACAATTGATTTTATTTCAGTACCCACACAAACCTCTCATCCTAAACAACCAAAATTAGAGAAACACGAGGAAATAGCTTTGAATACACTGTTAAAAGAGCTTTTACAGAAAAGAGTCATTGAGATATGTAATCATGAAGATGGGGAGTTCATCTCCCCAGTTTTCTTGCGTCCTAAGAAAAATGGGAACTACCGCATGATACTGAATCTTGACTTTAAACAAGCATGTTTCATATATTCATTTCAAGATGGATACGCTTCAATCATGTATCAATTTAATGACAAAAAACTGTTATATGGCCTCGCTTGATTTAACAGATGCTTATTATTCTGTTTCAATGCATCCAGATTCTCAAAAGTATTTAAAGTTCTTTGTTGGTGACCAATTATATAAGTATATTACTTTGCCAAATGGGTTGAGCTCTACACCTCGAATTTTTACAAAACTCATGAAACCAGTATACTCTACCTTGCGAACTAGAGGCCATGTTTCCAGCGGCTACCTGGATGATAGTTTCTTACTTGGTAATCCTTTTGACCAGTGCCAGACAAATGTGAACAATACGTATTCTCTGTTTAGGAACCTTGGGTTCAATGTGTCACAAGAAAAATCGATCACCCAGCCAACCCAAATAATAGAGCATTTAGGGTTTGTTTTAAACTCTATTAATATGACCGTGAGTCTCACAAGAGAAAAAATTGATACAATTATTCGTTTGGGAGAAGACATTTTGAGAGGGCACTCATGTTCAATCAGAGAAGCTGCTCAGCTAATTGGCACTTTAGTTTCTTGTTCCCCTGGTGTGGATTATGGACCATTGTTTTACAAACAGTTGGAAATAGAAAAAATTGATGCACTAAAACAGCATAATCCTTCCTTTAATGCTCAAATGACATTTTCGGAATTAGCAAAATCTGACATTTCAGCTGGTGGAAAGAAAATAGCTGGCACTATGTGAAGCCAACTTCTCATGGAAACCCTCATTTTATATTAACAACTGATGCCTCTCTGGAAGGATGGGGTGCATACCGAGATGGTATGGAACCTACAGGAGGTAGATGGCTTAAACAAGAAAGTGCTGATAAACACATAAATTGCCTTGAACTGGAAGCTGCCAAACTAGGACTCCAGGCACTCTGCGCAAAAGAGATATGTGTACATATTCATTTACAACTTGATAATGTTACTGCAGTAACATTTATTAATATTATGTGTGGCACCCATTCTAAACCCTGTAATAAGGTAGCACGAGACATTTGGCTGTGGTGCATTGAAAGGAAGATTTGGCTTACTGCCACACACATTCCTGGAGTTCAAAACAAAACTGCAGACAGGCTCAGCCGGAAATTTAATGATAGGACTGAGTGGAAATTAAATCCCAATGTTTTCAAACTGTTAACAGATAAATGGGGGAAACCAGATATAGATTTATTTGCTTCGTGGCATAATTACCAGTTCAAGCCTTTTGTGTCATGGCATGCAGACCCTGATGCTTATGCAACTGATGCAATGTGTTTGAGCTGGAAAGATAAATATGTCTATGTTTTTCCCCCTTTCAGTATGTTATCCCGAGTTCTTCAGAAGTTACAGGAAGATCAGGGCCAAGCTATTGTCATAGCACCACTATGGAGAACTCAAGTTTGGTTTCCCAAGATCTGTCAGATGTTAATCAGTCAGCCGGTACTTCTGCCAAGGGTGAAAACTCTGCTACAGCTGCCACACAACAAGACCAAGATCCACCCCTTATGGCCCAAACTTCAACTGATGGCATGTCTCTTGTCCAGACAAAACTCAGTAAGGAGAACATTTGAAAAAGAGCTTGCGACATCATCTTGGAATCATGGAGGACTGGCACCACAAAGCAGTACCGAGTGTATTTGGATAAGTGGACAAAGTTTGCAGCAGCAAGAAATGAAAATTCCATTCACCCAACTGTAGCCAATATCCTTGACTTCTTGACACAACTCAATGATAGTGGAAGCAGCTATTCAGCAATAAACACTGCTAGATCTGCCTTATCTGCAGCAGTAGATTTGACTGATAGTACTTACACAGTGGGTGAACATCCACTGATAAAGAGATTTGTCAAAGCAACCTTCCAGTCCAGGCCACCCCTTCCACGGTATCAGACAATATGGGATGTATCTAAGGTTTTGGATTTGCTCAAAACTTGGAGCCCTGCTAAAAACCTGAACTTGAAATTATTAACTTTTAAATTGGTTATGTTGTGCATGTTGGTTACTGGACAAAGATGCCAGTCANCTAAATTATGGAGGTCGGGGGGGGAAACTGGGTGCCTTTGAGGTCACCTTGAAAAATATCTCGTAAAAATGAAAAAACCGGACTGATTCAAAATAAACGCAATATTTTTTCATGGGATAGAAGTATCGACTTTCACAGTAAAAATCAGGGAAATCGGTGAAGGTCCGAAATTTGCCTTATCCGTTCTTAGGTGGACAGCCTCTTAAGTGTCGCCAACGTGATCAATTGGTGGCGCAAACCAGCAGATTGATCTTCTGTACACAAAAGTTGCTTAAATATCTCATATACATCCATTGGTTCGGTTGCATTTGTTGTACCTGTTGTATTTGTTGAATTTTCCACCATGGTCTCTGCGATCCTTGTTAATCAAACGCTGATTTGTGTTTCATTTGAATTTGTCACCATTTTAGAGCGGAGAACAAAATCATCGTAAAAAGGCAACTTGAACCGGAAATAATCTGTTGATGGGATACTTTTAATGATGTGTTGTTTTCACGACTTAACTGCGTTAATTTTCTATTTATGACGAGAGCTGAGAGCTGGAAATCATGAGTTAACTGGTTCACGCAAGAAAACATTTGAACAAATTGTGTCTCAACAATTCTGACGCAAAAGCAATAGATACGTCATTCGTAATATACTGACAACAATGTCAAGTCGAGTGGAACAAAGATAACTAGTTCAAACCGAAAGGTTGCTCGTCCAAAGATTTGGAGAGAATTGCAATCTGCAAGGATACCTTACCATCTGCAAACTAAGGGGTAAATCGAAATCTGTTACCCTGTTACAATTAGGCAGCCCTCGATACTAAAACAAACAATTTACACTTTATCGCGGGCTCCACTCCTTGAAATTGTCTATATTTTCTGTTATTGTTACACCAAAAACATTTACTGAGACTCAAATAAAAATGTCTATCACGTCGAGTACCCCCTAGGCGCGTGTTCGAAGACCAAAGAAACAGGAGGCCTTAATCATGATTGTCGTTCTCCACCTGGAAGTCACGTTTCCATCCAAGCACTCCGATATTACTGGAGGAGGGGCTTCTGATCATCTCGTATCCTCGTTAGGCCTAAATCAGTATCACGTATCTCGTTAATTCCTGTAGTTTGTATTCCAGTTCAACACCCCGGAATCTCTATTTTAAATATCCCGTTTCCCATTTTTTTTCTTCCTGAAGTATCCCGTATCCCTATAATTTCTTGACCAAATATCCAGTACGGCGACAACCCCTAATAGATTTCAATATACGAAGTCGACAAGAGGAGTTTAACTACCAGAGGGGTCCGGTAATGCAGACGAATCATATTTTCTTGCGCACTTTAATAATTACTTGACCTTTGACGTAAGCATTAAAACATACTTTTCTACGAGCGCTTTCTGTTTTCTGCCGCACCCTTGCTAGCTCGTGCTGTAGAGCACAGGAATACCGTCGAGGGTTCAAGCCCCAGACCGACCAACACTCAGAGTCTCAAGATAATTGTGCTGTCTTTGCAATGACTTCAGCGAATAGTTAGACGTTCAAGTTTTCCCGATCGGATAAGGACGATAAACCGTAGGCCAAGTCTCCGGCATCTTCCCAGTACGGGTTAGGAGGGGGCGTTAAGACCCAAAGAGTAGGAAACTGAACTAGCTCCCAGTGTTGTGGTCTGGCCTTGTTTCCAAAACTTCCAAAAACTAAGGGCGCCTGCAAAATTTTGTTTCAAAAGATTAAAAACTGCTTTAGGTAGTCTGATATTAGAGCATATTAATAATGACAATGCGCTCTACACACGCATCAGTATTATTTCTTTATAAAACCATGCTGGACATTCTTAGGAAATTCTGTGTTATGAATCTTTTATCCCGACTATGGGAGGTGAGTTTTCTCATCAACCACTCGTGATCAGTTTGGATGTGTATATGCAATGTGCAATTCATATTTTTCATAGACAACAAAATTGCACGAGCTAATTAACTGAAGAATAATGTATGTCGAAAAGAAGCAGCTGGCGTGTAATACAAGAGCTGTCAGTTAACTTTCCAGTATCAGCCGATAAAATTTTGTAAGAGGAAAGTTTATTGCACAGTTTTAAATACAGAGAGGGATAGCACCTCCGCAAGAGGGGCTTGCCATGTCCTCTTTAGGACGCACATCCTGCTTTGGTTCCCACCTGGCACCCAACTCTCACCTGTGGCTCCTCGAAGCTGTAGCATGCACAACGGCCACACCCCGGGAAACCGCTTTGGCAGGCGGGCTGAACCAGGTAGAGGGTAGCCGGTCGGGTTTCAAACCCTCCGGTGAACAAACCAGGGATCTGTCTCCCTTAGCATCTGAAGACTGACTCCGGCGGACTGCGCGGAAGAAACTACATGACCACTTCAACGGGTAAGAAGGCAGTTTCCAGCAGCGCGTTGTGGAATGCGTCTAGGGCACAGCGTGACAGGTACACTGCTGGCCATCCACTGCTTCCCGGCTCACTTTCAGCCGTCTCAACGTCGTCGTGCCACTGGATAAAGTTGGCAGGGACGAGTGAGTGAGGCTGACGACCATGCGCAACTATCCCTCACTTTAATCAAAGTCACGCGCTAGTCATGACTTCACCCCCACCACTCCCCCGCACTCACATCAGTTCCCTCCTTCACAAGTCCTGCGGCGATGGATGCGTGGCAAAGCGACAGGTATGGACTCACTGAGAGTCGTAGTCACAACTCTACACACAGGCGGCTCAGGCCACATGGTCGCTCTTCAGTGTATTGAGACAGCACTGGAATGCGGCAGCTCCCTGAGTGACGAAGCAGCCCTTTTCAGGACAGCACTGCTTGCCCCCAAAGCCTGAGGACGGGCCTAGAAAAGGTGCCCTAAACATTCCCTGTCTCATTACTCTCCCTGGCCAGCTTGCCGCAGCTGACGGGGTCCCACAACAGCGGTAAGAAGACAACAAGATAAATAAATCATCCTCGGTGACAGCTGTCACCTTCGGTGCGTGGAACGTACGCACCCTCCTGGATCGTGTGGGAGCGAACAGACCGGAGAGACGAACGGCCCTCATTGCCAACGAACTTGGTCGCTACAAAGTGTAGATTGCAGCCCTTAGCGAAACCCGCCTAGCAGAGGAAGGCCAACTCACTGAGCAGTCTGCAGGCTACACCTTCTTCTGGATTGGGCGAAGACAGAACGAACGGCGTGAGGCAGGAGTTGGCTTCGCCATCAAGTCCAACCTGGTCAACAAGCTGGTTGCTCGCCCCATGCCAAGGGGATTAATGACCGCCTGATGACCGCCTGATGACCGCCCGCCTCCCACTACCGAAAAATAAATTTGCCACACTGATCAGTGCCTATGCCCCAGCCATGACCAACCCTGAAGAGGTGAAGGAAAGGATCTGAGAGCCGCCATCGCGGCGGTGCCCCGGACAGAAAAGCTCATCATCCTTGGCGACTTCAACGCCCGAGTAGGCAGAGATAACACATCGTGGGAGGGAGTGCTGGGGAAGCATGGCATTGGCAAGTGCAACAGCAACGGCCTCCTCCTGCTGGAGACCTGTGCAGCCCATGATCTTCTCATCACTGACACCGTCTTTCGCCTGCCCACGCGTAACAAGACATCATGGATGCACCCACGCTCCAAGCATTGGCACAACCTTGACTACGTCATCGTCAGACAAAGGGACAGACGAGACGTGAGAGTCACGAAGACCATGTGTGGTGCGGAATATTGGACCGATCACCGCCTGCTGATATCCAAGATGAACTTCCCCATCACACCACCCCGGAGGCCCCAAGGAATCAAAGTCCCTATGCGTCTGAATGTCAGCAAGCTCAAAAATCATGGTGTCAAGCAAAAGCTGAGTGACGAGCTGATAGACAAACTGCCATCCAACGCAGACCCTGACGCGGATGTGGAGGCAGAGTGGGCCCGTCTCCGTGATGCTGTGTACACTGCCGCCTCTGATGTCATTGGTCCCACTGTCCGCAAGCACCAAGACTGGTTTGATGAAAACAACTCTCACATTCAGTCCCTACTGGAGGAGAAGCACAGACTCCATCGTGCAGTCCTCAACGACCCATCGTCTGCCTCCAAGAGGGATGCCTTCAACGCTGCTAAGAGGACAGTTCAGTTAGAACTCCGTCACATACAGGACGACTGGCACAGCCAGCAAGCGGACACCATCCAGGGTTACGCTGATATCAAGGACATAAAGAACTTCTACATCGCAGTCAAGGCCCTCTACGGTCCCACCATATCCAGCTCACCCCCTCTCCTCAGCGCAGATGGGAAGACACTGATATCAGACAAAGAAAAGATCCTTGAGCGCTGGGCAGAACACTTCCACAGTGTCCTTAACCGCCCCTCGAACATCAACGAGGAAGCCATCGATCGTCTCCCGCAAGTCCCAATCAGCAACGCACTGGCTGACCCACCCACAGAGGCAGAAGTCGCAAAAGCAATCAAGTGACTCTCCAACGGCAAGGCATCTGGTGCTGACTCCATTCCTGCGGAGATCTACGCTGTTGGCGGCCCAAAGCTGATCGAGTGCCTCACCAGCCTCTTCGCCACCATATGGACTCAGGAAAAACTGCCACAAGAGCTCAAAGACGCCTCCATCATCCACCTCTATAAACGCAAAGGGTCCAGGAACTCCTGCGACAATCACCGCGGCATCTCTCTGCTCTCCATCGCGGGGAAGATTCTAGCTCGCGTCATGCTGAACCGCCTCAATGCACACCTAGAGCACGATGTGCTTCCTGAGAGTCAGTGCGGATTCCGCACAGGCCGAGGCACGGCCAACATGATCTTCGCAGCCCGCCAACTACAAGAGAAGTTCCAGGAGCAGAATTTTGGTCTCTATACCACCTTCGTGGATCTCACTAAAGCCTTTGACACTGTCCGCCGCGAGGGGTTGTGGAAGATCATAGCCAAGTTTGGATGCCCCGCCAAGTTCATTGCAATGGCCCGGCAGTTCCTTGACGGCATGTAGACTGCAGGATGACGGCGAGTGCTCAAAGCCCTTTCCAGTCACCAACGACGTGAAGCAGGGCTGCGTACTGGCTCCAACCCTGTTCAGTATGGTGTTCTCGGCAATGCTATTGGACGCTTTCCGTGACGCAGACGTAGGTGTCAGATTCCAATACCGTACTGATGGCAGCCTCTTCAACCTCCGGAGACTACAGGCCAAGACCAAAGTATGCGTGGACACAGCCCGTGACTTCCTGTTTGCTGATGAGTGCGCGCTCAACGCTAGCACAGAGTCAGATATGCAGGAAAGCATGGACCTGTTCGCACAAGCCTGTGACGACTTTCGTCTCACCATCTCCACCAAAAAGACCGAGGTCATGCACCAGCCAGCACCTGCAACGGCCTACACCGAACCCATTTTCACCGTCAACGGTCAGAGACTCGCTGTAGCAGACAAGTTCGTCTATCTTGGTAGCACTCTGTCGCGCT